GTTGGTCTGATAACGTTGAGATGGTTTAACAATTGTCGACTACACAGTAGCCGAATACCGCTAAATATATAGGAGTCGTAAATCTGGCGGTCTTTTAGTAGTTGTAACAAGTACATTCTTCCCGGCTGGTGCAGTACTGACCTTAGTCAACCCGGCTACCACGATCCTTTGGGATAACAGGTCACGATCATCCCCTTAAGCGCGAATAATGAGATTGTTCCTTGCGGTGGGGACTGAAACGAGGAGTGCTTCTCACAAGATGTGTAAAACATTTGGTGGAACGAGTTTCTCCCTCCCACTTGAAAGAGCTTTCTTTCTTTTTCCCATATTTATTACTCGGGTAGGAGGTAATAGAATCGGCGCCATTCGAAAGATTTCTAACCTGTTCTAGGTGTTAAGCTTTCTACGGAAGAAAAACTATGTGTATATATATATATATATATTTAGCAGTTTATATTTTGTTTATACAAAAATGCTTGGAAAATTATATTTCATTCTCCTCTGAAACATTATAATAGTTTCACTTATGATGAAATATTTTTATAGCTATGATATAAAATGCCATCAGATATCATGATATCATTCCTGAAATTTTTTTCTTACATTTTAGGAATTTATGATGATACTTATAATTTATTATTTTAAACTCTAACTGTAATCATTCAATGTCTTTTTTAGTTATTTACGTTTTTTGGCCAAATCAAGACACACGGCCAAAACAACCTGCAGGACACTGTGTGATTAATAGGAGTGATAGTTTAGCAATTTTCCACTTTCTGTATCTCGGACTGTGGTAATCCAAACTATCACATATTTTGGATTTTCTCTATTAGACCTTTACTTCACATACCAAATTTCAAGGCAATCTATTAAGAAATACCTGAGATATAAATCTCCAATTTTGAATGACTTTCTTCCTTTTTTTTAGCCGCGATATAACGGCTCTGAGTTTTACAAGTACGAACTTTTAGCTCATAGATCCGCCATATCTTGATTGATTTGAGATATAATTACAGTTTTCGACTCAGGAGGTTAAACCCAAGGTATCACAGATTAATTTACTCTAATCCTGCCTAAAAGAATTGCAATTTGAGGATATGCTGGTAGACATCTTGATGAATAATAAAATCCAATCGGGTATACGCACGCCCCACGCTTAGTATTGCTGGCGCACAAAAATATAGCTAATAAAAAGGGGGGAAAGTCTCATATGTTAATTTACTCTATTCCTGGGAACGATAGCTCACTTTACTTTTTGCGTAGGCAAGAGCAAAAAGTATGGTCAAATTTGAGCGGTTTTTGTTGAATAACTTTGCACATGTGGCTTAGCTTATATTTAGACCAAATTTGACATCAAAATGTAGATTTTAAAAAGATATCAGTGTTCCAAATTTGAAACAAATCCATGAAAGTTAAGTAAGTTTTTCTATCAAATAAATTTTCCGTACTTTTGGTGCGAAGAAAAAACAAGAGGGAATCCTCAATAGCCGCGGCACTTGAATTTCTTTTAGTGAAATTTTTACTACAGCTTCACCTAAGAGTAAAGATGGACCTTTTTAGTTTTTTGTAATTCGTTTTAAAGATAGCTGTTTAGAGCAACAAAACTAAAGGGTGAAAGCAGGTGCAGATACATAAGTATTGGTTAGGCTAAGCAAACTAGATCAGCTGTTATTATTAACGGTTATTAACTCGTTGCCAACTTTTAAGCACAAATTTGTTAAATTTTATGAAATTCTCCTAATTAAAGATCGTTTAGCATCATGTGATATTAGATTAAGCGTAATTAATGATGCTTGATACGGTTGTACCGTGTGCATGCTGGTGATGACAAAAACTGTTAATCTAATTTCCATGACGTTATTATAAAGGAAGTTATTAACACTGTTTTAGAGAGGAAAACCTACCACCATATATTTTTAAAAATCTGGTTGGTTCTGTAAAGTATAGGACTGTTCCGACTAATAGGGTTGCGATCCTAAAGCTAATGTTGGTTACTATCGAGTATCATTTTCTTACTTGCTGTGGTTTGTTGGTGTGTATTGACAAAAAAGTCGTGATATCTAATTACAAACACCTTACGTGTGAAAAAAGGTGCGGCCAATAAAGGATTGACCATGCGACTTAAAGATATTAAATCAAAATTGGCGGTCAAACTGGTAGCTACAATTATGACATTGATAAGGAGTTTACAGCAAATATCCATTCATTAGTTAGCTATGCTGCGTATTTTGTTTTACCCACCATCAAGCCCCAAGTTGAACAAAGTCGCACACTCAGTCCTTTTTGGCCGCACCTTTTTTTCACCTCTAAGGTATTTTTGATTAAATTATAAATAACAAAATATTATTAGCCAAAAAACAACGCGATACACACCACATAAGTTATGTTAGTTTTCCACACTCGTAATGGAAAGATAGCAAAAAGGCTATAAAAAATAAAGGTATACTGTTGAACAGCCCCGATTACAAAAAGTTTCGTCTATACCAAAATGTTCTTTTTTTATACTTAAAACGATGCATTTTCATATAGTCCACTAACTAGCAAAGTGTGAGAAAGTTGTTTTTAATTCAAACTAATTGAGGTCTACGGTTTTTCATACTGCTATAATAATGACAATATAAAAGTCTTAATGCTTCCTGAAAACAGAGGGAAAAAATCATAACTCACCTAACGATACTAATACCCATAGCGGTACCGTAATGTTTTACAACTTAACTAAACAATTGTGTTATTTCTATCTACCTAAATTAATTTAGTTAATATATGATGAAGTAAAATGAATTCCAAGCTTCACAGATGTTATATACACTTCACCACTGTAGGAGGCCTAATGGCATTTCTTTGGTTTGTTGACCCAAGCTCTGGTAATGAGACTTGAATAGGCGAAACTGCAGGCTATAGCAGAGGGCACGGCTAATCAAAGAATGCATTAGGCCTCTGCGTTACAGATTCTCTTTTCAATTTCACGTCTGGTGAAAAAGAAAAGAAATCTTTAAGATATATATACAATTGTGTTATTTACATTTGACCCTATTTTATACTCCACGTCATTTCAGACAGCTTTAACCGAGTAATTTTGTTTTGTTTTTTTTACAGGCTAAATCTACCTTGTCATGTATGACTCACACAAAGGTTTCAGGGCTAGAGGTTTGTTACAGCCGCTATACCCAAGCTAAACCGTATTAGACGAAGTGTCTATGCTTAATCTTCGCCAAAACGCTGCCACATTTAACAGTACCAGATCTTTAAGAGTATGTCACGCAAACTAATTGGTTACGGAACACAGCTGCTAGCCCTCTAACGAATCTCCATAATTGTCGACAATGTTTTGCTCTCATCAATGCGTGAGTTAAACAATCCAACAGCGGACTAAATCAATTCATCTACACATTGCATAAAATTACTTTTTTTTTTCGAAGTTCTCTAAGTCTTTATTCCGTTAATTAACTTTTTATATAAACTCCCCAGTGCCACAACAGAAGTCTGTGAGCTTATATCGCTAAAATTATGTTTCCATAATTGATGTGGGCACATCACAGATAGCCCATTATGTAGCCTTTTGCTTCACACGTAACAAGCATTTAATATGATGAGATCTAATTTGTGTAAATGTCAGTCTTGCGATCATTTGAAAACTGTAGCAGATGTGTTTAGGAGCTACTAGTTAATATAGTGCAGATACTTACATTTGTTAAAAACAAACTACATTTGAAACTGGAATACTCCTACTAAACCAGATAAAATTAACATGAATATTAAATTGGAATATTCCTACTAAAACAGATAAAATTAACATGAATATTAAATTGGAATATTCCTACTAAAACAGATAAAACTAACATGAATATTAAATTGGAATATTCCTACTAAAACAGATAAAACTGACATGAATATTAAATTGGAATACTCTTACTAAAACAGATAAAACTGACATGAATATTAAATTGGAATACTCTTACTAAAACAGATAAAACTGACATGAAAATTAAATTGGAATACTCTTAGTAAAACAGATAAAACTAACATGAATATTAAATTGGAATACTCTTACTAAAGCAGATAAAACTGACATGAATATTAAATTAGAATACTCTTACTAAAGCAGATAAAACTGACATGAATATTAAATTAGAATACTCTTACTAAAACAGATAAAACTCAGGAATATTAAATTGGAATATTCCTACTAATACAGATAAAACTGACATGAATATTACATTTCGAAACACCTTATTTTTCGGTAAAAATAAAGGTAGAACTTAATTAAACAGAGATATCAACTTTGTACATCTAGCTAATAACGTCAGCGTAACCCGTAGAGTAGAAGATTCCCTACCCATTGGAGGTGAGGCCCTTATAAACCTATTGGGATTATGAGGCATTTAGAAGCAGGATTATGCCTGTTTTGAATATAAATTAATCACATACTCCAGAGACGAGCTAAAACCGAGAGTTCCAGCTGTGTTGACACTATACAGCATTTTAGTGATCTTTTCTTCTTTCATCGGTCGTTGTCTTTCATAACTAAATAACCGAAAAGGTAAGAACCGTTTCTTCTTTCAAGGTAGCTTTAGGAAGTGTGGTCAACCTGAAGAAGGAGCCTGAAACGTTGTTGCCAACACATGGCAAGTGCATTATATAAAAAAAACATACTCAACAGTTTCCTCTTACAAGAAGTTTATGTTTATAGAAGTGGCGTGTCCTGCCAACCCTATATTGAAGTGTTGGTTATAATCCAAACAGTGTATAAAGTAAAATCCAAGGAATTCTCATAAAACTTATTAATTCTTATTTTATAAAAGGAGCAGGAAATATAAATTGGAGGAAGCGCGTTAGGAAAGAGAAACTCACATTTAATGAAATAATTCCCCCCCCCCCGCGTTTGTTTGGAAAAAAAATAATATTACAGAAAAAACTTTCGTACGAACTAGGAATACACTTGCTATATATAACACTGAGTACTAACAGTTTACATTAAAGAAAAACACATTAATACGAACCTGGCATACAGACACAACGAAATCCACCTCTTTCGTCTAAACAAGTCCCATCGTTTTGGCAAGGATTAGATTCACATTCGTTAATATTCAGTTCGCACCTAGGTCCAGAAAATCCTTTGGTACAATTGCAGGTAAATGAGCCTGGAGTGTTTACACATACACCTCCATGTTCACATGGCGAACCTGCATAAAACATGGTGTATGATTTTACATCATTTTCCTTGACTTTCCAAGTAAAATTCCAGTATAAAAAAAAGCAGCGCTGTTTCAAGTTGTACTCATAATTCTACTTAATTAATACCACTTTATATTGAAATATAATTATAAAATAGTGGAAAATATATACTGAAGGTGGAAATCGTCAATCACAAACATTGCAACTATTAAAATGTTGTATATGTATCAATAATAGAATAATTGATCTAATATATCATCAAATACAATAATTATCACAAGATATAACAACATAGGATGACTCTTTAAAATTAGATTAAAATGCACCAATAACTGGTATAGCTACGCATGCTGTTTCCAAGATAAAAAAATTAAAAAGAGGGTTTCGGTATGTCCTTAACATTTTTACTCCCTTTTTTTTAAATTACCCTAACTTTTCCAGGTCTTTCAAGGTCGATGCTACTCTTATGTACTACATTGGAAAGAAACATCAGGATTCTTCTTTCCCCGCTGATTTTTCCAAGCTCGTTCCCTTGGCTATGGTTTCGCTAGATAGTAGATAGGGACAGTGGGAATCTCGTTAATCCATTCATGCGCGTCAGTAATTAGATGACGAAGCATTTGGCTACCTTAAAAAAGTCATAGTTAATACCAGTTTTTCCTCGTGCGCATTCACAGATAAATGATCCAACACGATCATGGCAAGTGGCGCCACCGAAACAAGCAGCGCCTGCACAGTCGTCGATATTTTCACTGCAATCAGTCCCGGTCCAACCGTTTACACAAATACAAGAATAACCGCCAATTATGTTTATACTGTTGAAATTATTTTCATATAAGATCAAATATGGTACCCACATTTTGATTAATGTTTTTAAGAATAGGAAGAACTCGAAATGCTTAAGGAAATGCAATCCCCGCAGGAGGTAGTTCAAACACCCTATTGTATAGCCTTGCGATAAAACAAAACAAATTGTCAAACAGTTGCTATCCTTTGTCAGTAGATACCCTGTTTACCTTCTTTGCATTCATCGACATCATCTGTGCAGTCGTTTCCCTGAAAACCGCTAGGGCACGAACATCGGTAACTTCCGTCTATCGGATGTGTGTTGCAGATAGCTCCTGAATGGCAAGGGTTGCTTGCACAGGCATCATCTAGGTGGCATAATAAGCCTAGAAAGACAGCGCAATATAAGGAAAAAATACATCTTTTTCATACTATTTAAATTTATTCGTTATTTCTTACTGAGTTAGTCCCATTTTTAGTTATTCTAATTAGCATTTAGTTATAAAAATAATGAGTAATTTTTGAATATTTCAATAACGTACATTGTTACACCTGAACGATTATTCTGGTTCATTTAATATTCTAATTATTGTACTTTGAAAATTCACTTGTTCAATTTATACCACCTGTGGCATAAATCGCATACAAAAAAACCAACACTGACCTTCTATCAGACTAATACATAACTGAAGAGATTAACAATGTATAAAAAGCTGTTCTTTATATTGTTAAATAAATCTAGAAAGTGAATTATTAAATATATATATTATCATGGAATTGTTTCTATTTTTAACATTAAAAAAATACCAGTTTTTCCTTGAGCGCATTCACAGATAAATGATCCAACACGATCATGGCAAGTGGCTCCATTGAAACAAGCAGCGCCTGCACAGTCGTCGATATTTTCACTGCAATCAGTCCCACTCCAACCGTTTACACAAATACAAGAGTAACCGCCGATTACGTTTATACAGGTAGCCCCGTTTTGACATATACTGGGCTTTAACGCGCACTCGTCCACATCTTTGCTGCAGTATGGTCCTGTAGAAATAAGCACAACCAATACAAATGTATAAAATGATCAGAAGAACGTTTGTCAGATTTTTATGAAAATATCAATATTTTAATTCAGATCCTCTGTTGGTATCATAATATAGTAGAATTTTGAAACACTGAGGTTATTCTTTCAAAAATGTATAAAAACTTACTCCACAAACAGTAAATAAACATGAACCAGTGGTGTCGTGCTAAATTTTATATTGCCAGAGCCCTGCTAAAATTTGTAATACGTGTGACGTCACTATATTGGTAAAGATCTTAAAGGCTAATTTCAATTTTTTTACTCCATTCTAAATAAAGAAAATAAATTCAACACTAATTAAAATTATTTGAGACTACTTACATTTAAGACAAATTTAATACACATGCGAGAGAAAACACGCAACTCAACTTCTTTTAACTTAAGCAGCAAGTCCCATCTATACCAAATAAAAATCACTGACATTGAAACAAGTTTTAAAATCGCATAATTTACCATCTTTCTAACTGCACTATACTATTAACAACCTTGGTTTTAATCCCTTGCGTACCTCCCATCCTGCCAACACGAATATGTAAAAAAGCGACCTTTGATTAAGTGTGTGGTTTTAAAAGACAAATAAATATCGGTTTTAATTTGAACAACTGTTTCTACAGATTTTAGTTTTTGAAGTGTCGGGCTCCAATTTTAGATGCTGGAGCGGTGCTACGGTACACTTCGCACCATTACACGTTTGAAAGGACGACATATTTTTTTTTTTTTAATTATGCACAAAGCTACACAAGGGCTATCTGAGCTCTGCCCACCACGGGTATCGAAACCCGGTTACTAGCGCAGACATAATGCTGTGCCACTGGAGGGCTGGACGACATATACACATAGGGAAATATTAATTAAACAAACTACACAGTTAGGTAAGAAACAACCAGAAACGATACCTGTATAATTTGGGGGGCACCTGCAAGTGTACTTGTCTACTTCATCTACGCAAGTGGCTCCATTCTGACACAAATTCCCGACGCAATCGTCAATATTGATATCACAGTCGATGCCCGTGAAGCCTAAAATGATAAAACAATTAATAACACACAAAAATAATGTTAAACTATGACAAGCTTACACAGTCGAGAAAATGTATTACCAAATATTACTTCACAATATTCCTAGGCTAAATGTTTCAACTCCTTATTAACAACTACAAACTTGGGAACCTTACTCATGAACTTTAACGACTTAAAAGGAATGTTAAATAGTGAATGGCGTTTATTTCAATTGAGTAAAAGGGGTCATTGTGAAAACTGAAACGTTACGCCAAAATGCGTCATGATAGTTTATAAACATTGCTCATGAAATTCATTCACAGTCAAAAACGTTCTAGAAGTAAGAATTGCTTGCCATTCTAAATCCATACCTGGAAACCTTTCCAAACTCATATTTCTAAAGCATCTTACCTGTCATTTAGAACTGATTGTTTATAACTTTATTTTACATTACTTATAATGAAATAGTATTTTCAGGTTTTGTATTCTTTATTCAGTTTATTAACATGCTAATATTCTAATCACCTTTATACGAGTCATGCTAATATGTCCTTATAAAACTGCATTTGTTATTTTAAAAAAACTTCTACATTTTAGTAAAATACCCTTATTTAAAACAAATGCAAAAAACCCTTGGGACCCTTTTAACCAATGATACTGTTAGTCGTTTGAGTTGTATTTTCCAGATTAAATACTGACATTTTTATTATAGTTACCAGAAATTTAAAACCATATTATTAACCTCTGTTATAGTTTTATGAGAATAAAAAAGCATAACAATGAGTCACTTTTGAAAAAAGTTTACCAGAACTGCGTTGTTTATATAACGAAATGGCAGCTGAGTGAAAAAAAGAGAAAGAAATCAGTTAATGAATATCCGTGTGTCCAGGCCACAACAAACCACTTGAATGAAGCATGATTTGTAAATCTGTCGGCACCCACCAAGCTTCTGTTACCAGTTTCGTGAGTCAAGGTGGTTTATAGTTTCAGGTAAAGAGTAGTTATACTACTAGTTTCTCAGCCTAACCCTGATAAGAACACTTTGGGGTGCAACTAACAACTTCAAATCTCCACGAGGACCTAACCTCGTGAGTAGTACTACTGCATAATCAAACATGAAAGTAACTATTTTTACATTATTTCCATCAATAATATATAAACACAGAAAAAAAAACAAGATTGCTTGTTATACATATTGACATTCATACATACTCTACAAGAATCAATTTAGATGTTCGAGGACCTCTTTAATAAAGTTAGATTCCCAAGGATTGTAGTTACAGAAGTAATAAACTCATTTCCTTAGATAAATGTATTAAACTCGTTCACTGCCACGTTTATAGATAACCAACTCTCTCAAAATTCCAAACTCACATGTGCTTAATACCACACTTTTCATGGATAAAACAATTAATTAAATGTTATATAGTGTGTCCCATATATGTTTCTATGACAGTGCTTTGAGGGAGGGGAAAACGCATATTTTTGTATGTCTGAAAAAGTGAAGAAAACCTACATTAAAAGTTTTCGATATAACGATGTGATAGGCAAGCACTGAAGGTCTTGATATTTCTAATAAGGAAGAAATATGAAATACATACATATATATAAACAGGCTTAAATCACACAAACTCCAGCCCAACTAATATTAACCAACAATGCTCCTTTTCGGAAAGGGGGTAAGAAAATATGCATTCGGCAAGCGTAATTCTGTAAGTTGGGTGCTTCGTACTTCAATAGGGGGGGAACTACAGCTAGATTTTTGCATTTTTTTATTTACACTTATCATAATTTATATCGAGTATAAGCTGGAGTTTTAGATTTTTTAAATTACACCAATTGTTCTTCCACTTTCAGTACGGAAACTACAGACACGAAGGCTATGAAACGCAAAACAGGTTAACTCTAAAATCAAGAAATTGAAATATTATATCTTTTTTTTCATTCCAGTGCCCCAAGTACATAGCATGAAAAAACATTTTTTGTCCCCCACTGGGTTAGCGGTTAATTTACGCTAAATTCCGGTGGAATATACCGCAAATAACCTATTGAGCGTTACACTAAAACAAACAAATGTAATGTTGGTTATTTTTCTTATTATATAAATATTAAAACTTGCAAAAATTAGTGTTAAGATCTATAATTCTATAACAAACCAAGTTTAGCTCATAGCTCAACTTAATCCTGTTTCGTGAATCGAACCCACTAACACTTTACTATCACAGCTGTTAAAAGGGTTAACATCTTAACAACTGCTAGTGATGCACTTTTTAAACTCAAACTATCCGGCTACCATATTCTTCCGGCTACGTTTGATTTTTTCTTCTTTTCAATTTTGTGGAAGTTCGGGTTGCACATCTTCCAGGATATAACGTAGTACACAAAGCGTCCTTTTTGCGAATTGTATTTTACACTTATGGCAAAGCTACAGCGTTTATTTGCCACTGTCCCTAATTTTGAACTACTGGACATATGGATGGCAGCCAGTCAGTAGCATCCTATTATCCAAGCTGAGGGATTGATTGCCACTCTTATAACGCACCCACAGCTGTAAGTGCGAGGAATATTTTGTGGTATCGTACTGATTCGAACCCTGATCGCTAGCTCTGAAGTCAAGAGGTCTACCACACGACCACATGTGGTCTCTCTACCAACTAAGAGAGAGTTAATACCCAAGTTACTTGCCAGTAAGACACTTTTTAACAATACATCTGACTACGATAAAACATATATCCATATAGTTATCGCTTGGGTTTTATCCGAAACTGACCTCATGAGCGATAATTACTTTTAAAGCATATGATAACTGTACTTTTTAGTGTTTATTCCGAATTAAAAGAATTAGCTTCTTAGGAACTGGATTATTAGGTCCTCCAAGATATTCTATATGTAGAAGAGAAAACTGGGTAACGATAATCTTTAATGGATACTCAGTACTCTAAATTAATTATAATGTTAAGATTAGTGTCATTAATTTGGCCTGTATTCCCATTAGGTACAATTAGAAAGAATATTTAGTTTTCATCTAATAATAAATTGATAAGGACAGGTGAAATAAGTGTTTCACATTTCAAGAACATACTCTACTTAATATACTACAACTTTTGTTCGTATCATATTCAAGAGTTATACAAAATAAAAATGATTAAAGTACTTTCTTTTCCTACAAAGGTGCATCGCCCTCACCTGTACTTGGGAGGGCGACCACCTGGGAATACCGGGTGATAATGACATTAAGGACTTACAACGCTAATATCTGGTGTTTGGTTCCTCGCGGTGGACACAGCAGATAGCTTAATGTGGCTTTGCTCTAAATAAACAAATGAACAAACACCCTTACCTGGCAGACACGAACATTGGTAGCTCAAAGTCTCGATGGGGTTACAGGTTCCACCATTCTTACAAGGACTGGGATCACAAGGAACGTACTTAGACTCACACCTCTGGCCAGTGTAACCAAAATTACAGAAACATCTAAAAAGCATAAAAACACGAATGTTTCAGTAAATAACTGGAATAAAAGGGACACTTTTATATACGTAGTTCACAGTATCGTAACTAACCTTACTCACTAACGTGTAAATAAAGTTTCCCAGAAAAAAGTGATTAAACAAACAAAAAAAAAACGGCATCTTTCCCAATTTGTGAAGAGACATACAAGAGCGTTTTTCTTTTGAATTTTTGCGGCACAACTACATAAAGGGTTATCTGTGCATAGCCATCCTTAATTTTGAAGGCAGCTGGTCAACAGCACACTGCGGCCAAATCTTGAATGACAGAGCAGTGGGATATGACTGTCCATCTTATAGCATTGCACTGACGGCCCCAAAGTTCAGAGCACATTTTTGCAACAACAGGACACGAACCACAAACCCTCAGATTCACAGTTCGGGCACGTTACATGGTTGGACTACGCCCGACCCCATGAAAAAAAATATGTATGTTGAACTGACGTTGCTAGAACAGTTGCTTGGAGCTAACCATTAGAGAACGTCCAGAGACATACCTGTAAGAGCCGACAGTATTCATGCACACGCCGTAAATACAAGGATCTTTTTGGCACTCGTTGATGTCACGCGTGCATGTGCTTCCAGTGAACCCTTGAGCACAGGTGCAGCGGTATGAATCCCGTAAAGACTGGCAGGAGGCACCGTTACGACAAGGTTGAGAAGCGCAGTGGTCCACTTGTTCACAATGGTTCCCTATAAAACGAAGATTCGATGGTCAAGTATTCTAAGTGTGTAGACAGATATTATAAATCACTCTTTGTATGTGTGTGTGTGCAAAACAAAACAGACACGGCACATGAAATTAATCTAGGCAGGATTAGAGTAAATTAATCTACGAGACCTTTTTTGTTTCCTTTTTTTATTAGCTATATTTTTGTGTACCAGCAATACCAAGCGTGAGGCGCTCGTATACCCGATTCGATTTTATTACTCATCAGGATCTTTACCAGCCTACCCTCAAATTGCAATTCTTTTAGGTAGAATTAGAGTAAATTAATCTATGAGACCTTAGGCATGGTCAAATATATCAATCGAAAGGGTTTATCCTCCTGATTCAAAAACTGTAATTGGATCTCAAATCGATCAAGATATGACGGAGATATGAGCTAAAAGTTTGTACTTGAAAAACTCGGAGCCATTCCAGGAGCCGTTAAGCCGCGGCTAAAAATAATTTCTACGAATTATAGTGTCACGTGTAAGTTAAAAGGTTTCACATAACTGGAAACCATGAGGTTTACAAGAATTGCTGTATGGTGGGTCTCACTTCTGTGTTGAAAAAGCATTATTCCAGAAATTCGTCTGGAGTTTGATGAACCATTTGTTATTGTGGTGAACTGAACTTATTTCGTAATAAATATCCTAATATCTAAAGTAATTTATGGTTTCTCATTCGTTAAACTGCTTATTGTGGTGCATGTATCTTTAGTGTGTGAGTTTCACGATACGCCCCAAGTACGTTAAACCAGAATTGGTTATTTGCTTTTGAAAACGAAACAAAAGTAATTCATCAACCACTTTTTTACTAAACTAAACGCACCAGAAGCGCCGTTCATCAGCAGCCAAGAAACTCTACTGATCTTAGTTACAATGTAATTAAAATTATATACAAAAAAAAAATGTATGTTGGTTTTGGTTTCTTTTTACTTCTATGCATGGATATGCAATTTTTTTTAACTAACATATCTCGTTGTTTTGATTAAATACTGGAACCAAAATATTGAAAAAATAATTATCTCGTGTATCCTTTCCTTTCAAGATAAATATTAGATTGGTAACTTGGTAACTTAATATGAGAGAAAAGATTATAGAGCAAGCAAACAGGTGGTATATGATGGCGATAGCAATTTGTATTTATGTATTTTACATAGCTGCTAAGGCTATCTGCTGCCGTCCTTAATTTTGAACTACTGGTTAGAGGGAAGGCAGCCAATCAGGAGTATCCTCTCACCCACCGTCCACGCTAAGTGGTTGACTGTCACTCTTATAATGCGCCCATAGCATATAGTGCGGTGAATATTTTGTTATCGCACGGAATTAGAAACCGACTCGCCGGCTCCGAAATACAGAAGTTTTTCACAGGGCCAACCCACGCCCTTAATCTATATAGTTGCTACTGACCTATAACTTTATAAATCTAATCCTGGAAATTAACAGTTCTGAGTTATCAGAATGAAAATTGCATTATCATTTTGAAGGAGTATCTTCCCACGGAAAATAACACATATGTGTCGCAAATCAAAATTCAGGCAAACAGATGTAATCCCGAGACCAAGCTACGGAAACAATGTCGTCATCAAAAAGTGAAAGACATTATCTATCTGCCTGATGTCAAGACGCTCGTAATAAATCAGCTTATTATTTCTTAACCTATGCTTTATTTATTTAATTAAATAAAGATCACTATTGAAGCTACAACCTCCTAATGTCAATTGTATTTAGCAAATAATTTCTTTTTTAGTTTTTATTCAACCTTTAATGTGATTTTGTTTGTTTGTAATTATGCACAAATCTACACAATGGGCTATCTGTGCTCTGCCCACCACGGGTATCGAAACCTGGATTCTACAGTTGTAAGTCCGCAGACATACCGCTGTGCTACTGGGGGGCTTGTGATTTTGTAAACATGTTTTTGAGAAGACAGTTTTAACAGGAGAAACATAACATTAAGCAAATGCAAAAACAAAAAATAATATTGGCAGGATACGGCTTGAATGGGTAATGAAGAAAAACTTTAATGACAAAACCTGGTCGAAACGTTGTACAT